TAACAACCATACATAGTAATTAAAACAATCGAGTCGAATCCTCTGCTAGGCTCCTTCCCATTCTTTGAAAGACTGATACAGGATTATCTAAACCAGCGATCTTACTGCGTTTTTGAGCTGAAATGAAGCTGTGGATTTCAACTTTGGTTAGTGGTTCGACATCTGTTGACCAGGGCACTACATTGGAAGCTTGCGGCAATCCTACGGTGAAAGCAGGAGACCGGTTAAATTGAATCGGAAATGTTTTGCCTCAACCATCTGGATCTAGTATGGACGAGTATCGGATACTTCGCTGATAGATTCATTAACAGACACCCTGGGCTAGCGGTGCAGATGTACGGGAAGAGTGGCCGTATTTCCTGTGGTAAGATCGGGTTCCATTTCATTACTGTTCTCAATTCATCAAGCCTTACGATCTACCAAAGATTCTTGTGGACATCCCTCGCTGTGTTAATTAAACTACCATGACGAATATTCCGTGTGATATCCAGCATGTCGAAAGTTTCCGAACCTGAATGCTTAACCCACAATCTACCGCGAGATTTTAGCCCATTAGCCATTAGCACCTTCAAACCTGGAAGTGTTAAGCTTGCTTCCTTGGCTAACTTCATCCACATGCTTTGATGTTATGTTAGCCGGTTTCTCGAATGTTGGGATCAGTAAGGCCGTTGCCCATCGAAATCAAAAGCAGAACGACAACACACCAACACGTGATCTGACTCTGAGTATGTGCTCCAATAAAAACGGGTAGCTCCGAATAGGCTGAATATATGTTGGTGTGTACCCGATGAGTGGTGTAGTTAGCTGGCTATTACGTTAAAAGTCATGTCCTTGAACCACGAACATGGCAGTGCGTTGCAGCCACCAGCTTGCCTGGATCCGTAGATTAGCTGCTCTTTTTTGGTATCTTTTGTTGACAGGGAAGAAGTCGGGCGTATTACCAGTACGACGTTCTGTTACATATCTATGGCGTATGGTCTAATCCTGATGCCGCCAACTTACAGAAAACAGGAGAAATCGAACGAGTCACCGTTAAGAGAAATGTGAGACGTGCCGGGAATGGCGGGAGAGAATCCAGCCAAGTGGACAGGGGCACACACGACACATAACTTAAACCGTATTGCGCTGCGGACTAAAATTCCCGTCAGTAGATGTGAACGTATGCCCGGCACGTTCTGAAGGCTAATTGGATGATGTCACTCTCAATCTGCTGTGCAGTTTCTCGTTGTGTTCTAGTAGTGGTGATTCTCAATGCGATGATTACAAGTGTTAGGTGGATATAGCAGTATAGCTGTTAATACCTTATCCGTATTCGTGATCCGGTCACCTGTTAGATTCCTGATGAGTGTTAGATTCAATGAACACCGGATACGCACGTTGGAGTATGGTTAATGTGTATGAAGCCCACTATGTTTTCAATAAACCGGAAATTTTAGCCTTTACATTTAACTAGTAACAGATTCGTAACCTGCATGCAACCATCAGATTTTGTTACGGCGATTGCTTATTAGTTTTCCACCTAACGGGACCGTTAAACATTGAAACAACGCGATATGGCGACGAGCGTCGGTGCTCCACTTACAACAAACGTTCACGTGAAAAGCACGGGTGTACAGCTTCGCCATTATTGACCATTTTGATATTTCATCAGTTCACTCATTTTCACTAACAACTGATCGTTCATGTCAAACATGGGAGGTTTCAGTCGTCAAAATCACTACGCACTGTTCAAAATCCGGAACTTCGTATTTGTCAACATTTCCATAATGACATGGTCAAGGTCACATGTTCAGATAGGTTCTGTCGTTGCAACCTAAATGCGTGACTACATCACAGTACGCGTAAACATCCACCATCTGACTGCTTCCACTTGAACGTGCACGTAATAATATGAAACAACCTCTGTCAGCTTGACGATCAGCCAGTCTGTCTGCCATCACCGATGTTGTCAACATCACGCATACGTATGCAGTGTCACTTGTGAACCGTCGAACACGACGACGAGGTCAGGTGACACAAACGTATGCAACACAACGAATCAAGTCAAACTCATCGGTTGGAAAAAACTCCGTTGACCGCACTATTGGTTCTATCAGGTGACTAATTCACAAGTGTATTTTACGCAGTACAATGACTCGGTGGTGAATTACGGGTTAAGCGAAATGACCACTCGGAAAACTTGTTATGCAACCTTAATTTTTTCGGAACCACGGGAAAATGGTAGTGATTGAAGAGTTTCGACACCGCTGCTCTCAAACCCGGGAGTCTCAAGTAGCTCTGTGGTAACCACGTCGATGGCAAAGTTCGAATGTGAGTTACAACAGACGCTTCATTTTGGATTTGTTAACTTTGGATCTGTTCTACTTACTTGTGACCCAAAATGTCAATGTTAAGCAATGTTTTGATTTGCATGCAGTTTGTATTTCCAGATTAAAATGCCTTGAGTTTGCTGGACAACCGGAAACATTGAAGTCAACTTTTACACCACAAAGCGTTTCTGTTGAGTGACATTCTCGCTCATGAATACCCTCAGGCTGTCCAAGTGTAAATCGCGGGCACAATCAACGCGACCAGGCCTTGAGCATTCAGCTGCGTGGTTGGCAGTCGGCGTTACTGTCACTGTTACAATGCGACTTCTCATTTCAAGACTGCATGCAGATAAACTTGTGATCGTTCAGCCGGGAGTGGGAATACAATGTTCTTCATATACTCCAGTTGAACGGACGTATACGAAATTTTGTCTCCATGATTATTTACCTGTTGCAACCATTCTGCGGTTGTGATAACAAAAAGGTTGTTGTGCGCACAGTTCAGTTCCTTCTGTCGGCACCTCGTACGACTTTTGGCTGTGCTGAGGTATGGCATTTCGGTCACACCACTTTCTGCTGTTTGATTGGAAATGTGGGAAGGCCTGCGTTTTACTGGTTGTTTTCATTTGTCTTCCTGTAGCTAATGTGGTTCGGAAAACCTTTCCTACTTTGTCTCATATCGAGCTGGAAGTCCTGTATCCGGTTTCAAACGCGGTCAGCTTGCGCCTACCTGCAGCCGTTATCGATCCAGAGGACCCTCTAGGTTTGTCGGGAAGTCGACGTTTGAGTCGCAAAGCGCTACCCAGTGGCTTACTTCCAAGTTCAGCTCGGTTCGTCTTTGTATCCATTAATCGGTACGAACGCAAGAAAAATCTACGTTTGGCGTTGTTTGCATTGAGTGAGTCTTTGTTGGTGTCATATTTTACGTTAATTTAAGTTTGATAAGACGACTATCGAATATCCGATCGTAATATCTACATCGTGTGGTCGGACAACCTTAAAGGCACAAATTGTTTTAGCCATAGACATTTAGTTAAGCACACCGGACAAGGACTACCCTCTAGATAGAGGCCTCAGTGTTAGCACAAACCTCCTGTGGGAAACGCTATTCAACTCGTTACAGCCAATGACGTAGTGGATAACCTTCAGTTACCTTTGAACATTGTTTTTAGAATGTTTCCCTGAATTTCTCCCAAAGCTGTTGTGGTGGTCGGCCACTCGAACCACAATACCATCTGGTCGGTTTCAACAGAGTATGTATTTCGCAATGTATCAAATGGTACTCTGACGTTTCTTTTCAACAATGTCATCATTTCAAATGATTGCTCACTGTATGCATAATTTCTCCCTGCTCTCGTATGAATACTTTCTGCTAATATATTGTCGGAATTTCCGAATGCACCCTCAAAATTTCAATCATTTGGAATCAAATATTTTCTTTTCCAACCCATCATTCGCCCCACCTACCTGAAAATTTAACTTCATTATTTATTTTCTCCCCACTTCAGGCCACCTGTTTGTTCATTGGAAAGAATTAGTCGATGCGGAAAAATCCAGTCACGCACAACCCAAAGATGTGCATTTGATTACGGCGGGAGGATACGATACACGTGTCGTTGAAAATGTGGACTATCACGAAGAACTGGTTCTGCTTGCAGAAGAATTAAAGGTGGGATGAGCAGTCGTAGTGAAGTCCGAGTTATCTTTTCATTGTTTCTCATGTTAGATATAATTTGTTTGACGTTTGTTAGGTTAACTAAACGAGGGCAGTTAATCCCGGCCACGTCATCCGAAACGTAACGGTTCAGATCAGCGTGATTTTTTATTTAGGTTGTCACATACCCGGTGTATATTAAAATTTCCAGCATGTGTTTTCCGTGTGGGCAGTAGAACAGAGTAAATGCGTTTTGTTTGGCTCAGATTAATTCGTTATACATACCATGTTTAGTTCATGTTCATCAGAACAGAAACAAAACATTCGCTGCTTACATTTTGTTCGCTTTTTTCTATCGCAGGCGTGAAACACGCAGGTTACATATAGCAAACGGAATGGAAACGCAACATACACACTTAAGCATTATGGCACCAACACCATGGATTGCTTCAACCATTTTTGCGTGCACAACGCCGACTGGCTAGATCTAATCAACGTAGATCTACTGAAGGCCAGTAGCTTCGGGTCTTGATTGCGTGACAATACTTTGAATGAGATGAGTGGGTCAGTTTGGTTACCTGTTACCAGGAGGTGCCCAGCAGTTGATGATGTGGGATTTTGAGCAACAGATTCACCAGTTTGAGCTTGTGTTGTCAGTTGTTTCCACCATTTCCGGTTATGTTTCGTAACTACCTGAGATAGTTGTCGGTCTGTTATGCCTACGGTAACTTCATGGCAATCGGAAGCGAGCTGGTAAACAACATAGGCAGAACAGAGATGAACCACGTAAGTGATTTTGTATGACTGACCCGGTGGTAAGTTGAGCCAAGCGCAACTAAACAGCCGCATACGTACGAGATAGGGCAGACTTTAATTTGTACTGGATGTCACTTGCCAGATGATCCCCTCTGAGTTGCAGAAATAGAATTGTATCCTACTTTTCGACTGTTTGAACTGGCTCGTTGCACCCGTCCATCGTGCCGTGAGTTTCCATAAATCTTTCAAGATGTTAAATGAGACCCAATTGTGAAAAGTCAAAGCTTCGGCTGGATTCGAACCAGGTATAGAAACACCATGCCTCAACGTGGTAAGCACTCTACCAGCTGAGCTACGAAGCCAAGCCAGAAGCTCGGAAATTTCACATTTAGACTAGGTTATCCACCCGTCCAACTGTCTCATGTGGAATCCACCAAACGATCCAGGGAATTAAGTGCTTCGGCAGGATCTCTCGAACAGTTCACGCTGGAATCCACCAACGCCACTGTTGAGCATAAAAAGATATCCATTTGCCAGTAAGATGTTTCCTGTTGCATCTGCACCTCATCAGACATACATAAATACCCCTGCCTCTATGAAATTGGGTCTTGACCGAACTACGCTTGCATGCTACCGGGGCAAAACTGAGGAACTGAAGATAACGTCCGCCCCATGTTGCCTTATGGTGAACAAACCTCTGAAACGCTCCATTCTCACTCATGTTGATCAGTACATCTAAGAGAGCTGTGTCTGACTAAGCTTCGTGAGACAAACCTGTATATGATAACAGGTCACCAAACTGACCCATTCAGGTCAATCCAAATATTATCACGCAATCAGAACCCGAAGCTATTGGTCTTTAACGCGGATATGTTAATTAGAACCTATTAACCGGCGTTGTGTACGCAATAGTGGTTGAAACAGTCCACCAGATTGCCGTGGTGTTGGTGCCATAATGCTTGGTGTGTATGCTGCGTTTTCACTCCGTCCCTACTATGTAACTTGCATGCTTCACGTTCGTGACTATTGACAATAGACGAAATGTAAGCCCACCGCAACATTTCTGCTTTCTACTCTGATGAGTTTGTTGAACGTAACCCAGTGTTTAGCGTTATTCCGTAATGAATCTTTACATTCATAGATATCAGAACGTGTGTCCTTTGTTCGTTCGTGCTCTTCGGAAATCAAAGCTCTATTGATTGCATCCAGTGACGCCGTCTTATACACACCGGAAGGGGAACATTTTGGCATTGTGCCAATCGAAGCCATGTTCATGTCACGTCCGGTGGTGGCACTTGATTCAGGTGGCCCTCGAGAAACAGTCATGGATGGATCCACCGGCTACCTGTGCCCCGTCGACGCCACCGCCCGTCTGCCGGCAATTTTTGCGACATGCATGGCGCGGTAAGTTGTCACGCTTAGAGCGATTTGCCACATCTTTACTGTCAGGACTGTTTATAATCAAATTGTTTGGGCGCCAAACAGCACGCATGCATCCGCAAAGTTCATCTGCTTGCTGTTCCCTATGCATGAGGAACTGAAAAAGCATCGGGGATTTACGCAAATTTATTTCTTCCCGCTTGTCAGTAAACGGTCATCCACGTATTGTAGCTTCCAACATACCCTGGTGTTTTGTGAAAATCTACGAACTACCGACCACTTGCTTATGTAATCCGACGCGCCAACGGATGCATTAACTGAATTTTGTGAACGACGTTTACTTGATCTTTTCTTTGTTGTAGTTCTGGCATATGTTAGCTTATGGAAGTTTATAACATCTATCCATCGGATGACGCCTTTCGTTTTAATGCAATAGACAGCCACTGTTGGCGCTGCTCCTTGATATTTGTTTGAAGAACGTCACGTGAGATATACAGTGCCCCGAGGGCTATCACGTCTCATCGTTTCAGTAGCACGCGTTACATTTCGTAGCGAGTTTCGAGCGGTGAAATCTGAACACCGCCTTAGTAAGATTGTAGAATTAATCTTATCAAGACACTGGAAATGTTGAACGCAAAGTACTTTCCAACTGAAGAGGATGATCGGTACTGTATTTGCTTAGAAGAAACTGACGTATTGTAAACAACTTTGTGAGGGCAGCATACCATTTGCGACGAGGAAGGACAGTTACCTCCGATGATGCCAACTATTTAACAGCTGATGTTTTATTAACGGTAGTTAGCGGATTACCAAACAGGGGGAAATAAGACGGCTTTGTCTTACATCTGTTACCTAGATGGAATGTCTTCCATCATCGTTATCATAGTGTAATTCGTGAAAGCCTTAAGATTTCTCCTTTTTGTTTTTCTTATTTGGCTTTACTTGAAACGTGCGCCTTCAGTTGACCCCGTGGTACCGTGTCCTAACTGATTGGATTTTTATAAGCTCCACATTGAACTAAATTGCCAAGAATCGTGGGATTCGGATTACAACACCGCATAATGAACATAGGGAAGTACATCTGCCCCTGTGGATGAAACGTTGTTAGGTTAGTGATCAACGTCAACTTTCAATGTCCACCATATCGAAACGAAGTCATTTGTTGACATGCATTAGACACGAATCCAATGCTCATCACAACTGCACACTGCTTCTTTGTGTCACGTTCCTCAAACGCCGCACTGTTCAAAATGTTCTCACATTTCATATACACATTTCCCCGCGGTCCAAAGCTCTAACGTGTGGCGACCTAGAAGGTAATACATTGGCATATGTACAAGGTTACTTTTTTGCAAGGATTGCGATAAGTAGCATCTGGTCGACAGCTGTCGAACATACGTAAACCGCCTTCATCAAATCAGATAACTCAACCTTGACCCCGCCAACGCTCATCGTAATTTGTGTGACTGCGCCTGGACTTTGAGCAAATAGTGTATAACTGTTTGGCCCTTCCAAAGATTGTCTTTTCCAGTCGCCACATTAAATTCAAAACCCAATTTATTTGGTCAATTTTTAATAGGAAAATTGGCAGCTTTGTGAATATTTGCTAAGAACAGTAGCACCCCCCGATTTTTTGAAGGGTTGAATGTAATCACACTAAAATACCCTAATGGATGATCTGAATATCACCCGTGCCAAGTACATGAAGAACTTTAGTACTATCCAGAACGAAATCTTAGCATCAGCATATCATGTGGTTGTGATTGGTTGGTTATTTCGAAACTAAGGTTCTTATTCAGAATACGTGTGACAGAGTAGTGAACGTTGTACGTTTTGTTTTGTTAAACATCAGAATGTGAGCCCTATTTAGAGATACTTTGACACTGTCCTCTTTTATTTCAGCTTCATCAATGATCCCAGTCTTGTTTTGCGTATGGGCCAACTAGCCCATCGTCGTGTGGTGGAAAAGTTTTCGTTCGAAGCTTTCAGGCAGCATCTCGGTGACATCATATTGCGCATGTGCGAAACGGAAATTTAACTTTTTCTATTCTAATCATTGTCGCGTGCAAATATTTTCTGATAATTTAAACCTGTGATTTCCAATATGCGACTGAAAATGAAATGTGTGTCCGTTATTGTTTCCTGTTTAAGCTTGTTCTGTTTACCAACGCATATGGTTGAACGAGACCCGCAGTAGATTGTTCAGCCACATAAGGAACTTACGATTCTTGACAGCGAGTGACACAGTTTTAGAATTGCTTTAACCGATGATGAGTTTGTGCTTGCTGTATGCCACTAATGGACTTATGGCCGATTACACATCGACAGTGCGTCTTGTGACTGGATGATCAGCAACTGTCGTTACGAAACAGAGAAGTGAATAATACGTAGAGTAGTTGAAGATCTCCAGAGATAGCACGAAACAAATTATCGCCTGCTGGAACTAGCCCAAAAGAATGATACCCAGTCAGTAATCACTATCGAAAACTGATCGATAACGAAATCAAAGACAGCGTGTTGAGTCTCATGTATTGGTATCGACCCTGAAAAATAGTGTAGAAGAGCACGTCAAGCTAGCGAGGCGCGGAGCGAGTTATGACGTTAGCCCCGGGGCGGATATTACAGAATGGATGGCTTGATTAAAGCAAAAGTAGGTTTAAAAACGGTCATCAAAAATGTGCAACTAAGTGAGACGATCAAAAATATTGCTTATTATAGTCGCTCCAAGCCGAACTAAGCTGTTTTCGGTATGTTCCCGTCTTTGGTGTACACAGTGTAGAATTAAATGAAGGTCAAAGTTGTTGACCAAACTGTATCAGGCTGAAATGTATTCACACCGCCCAGATTTGTGTGTGCATAAACAGTTTGTCCGCAAGTTGTAGTTGCCATGGCCAAGCACGGCCACTCAATCAGCAAAGGTCGTGATTTTCCACCGTCAACCCATACCGATTAGCGCTAACTGCCCGAAACTCACCTCGTCCGTGTCCCTGACCGTCGTGTAACTGTTTATCTAACCACTATTTTCTACTCATATGTCGATCACTTAACTCCATGGTTATACCAAACATGAGTCTGTTGGGAACAACTCAATATATGGACGCTCACTGTGATTCGTTTTCGCAAACTCAGTTAACACACTGTTTGGCAAGCTCACCACATCAGAAAATGAAGCAGACCGTACCGCACATAGGAAGTGAACGGACAGTGGTACCAATAAGTTTTAGAAATCTATCGAACCAACTGAGTGGCCGAACGCCGAATCGGTACACTATTTGGAATCAACTGCTCCCGGGTTTCTATTTGTCCGGCATTATTCATTCATACGTCAAGTCAAATCTTAGCGTTAACATTGATTCGAGCGAGTTATCCATTTTCCGAATATCTGGACGTGCGATGACTTCAGGCGACTTCTACCAATAGTCGCAGGTCTAACTATCAAGAACACTAACGACACAACTAAATTTTTTAGCATTGGAGTTAGACTCTGATTAGACATGCCAGAATTTGTTGGGAACCACTGTCAAACGTGGTTACGACCATCACAAAAACGATGAAACATTAGACATGGTTGAACACTGACAATAACGCTGGCTCTGGAGCAGAGAGGTAATCTATAACATGCACGTCAAAATGGTTACCTCAAATTTGTCCTTCGCAGCGCCTTCTCTTGTAATATTAGGTCAAGGACACAAATACTGGTGTTATCATTGACACTATTCACCCCCAACAGTCTTGATGGCGTTCGACAAGCATGAAGGATGTTTCCTTTAGTGCGAATCGAATCAAATTTCTCCGTGGCGAACTGACTAACTCACTGTAACATCCCCTATGGTGAAGCCACTTTAGCAGGAAACATCAATTTGATATATTCTTCAGCGGCCAGGCACATTGGTAGACGGCTAAGCGATAACAGTATTCAACCGATTCGACGTACTGACTTTGGGTTAGCAACTCACACACGGCATCAACCGGGGGTTGCAGC